CATTTTCTCTCTGTAATTGTGGGAAGTTCGTGCCTTATGGCAGCCGTCACTTGCTTGTTATAAGTTAATTTTTCACCCAAGATTAATTGGGTTGTGAGTTCGTAACCTGGCTGAAGTACTTCATCTTAAAAACCATGTTAAATATTATTCCAGAAGCTCGATGGATTTCCTTTAATCATGGATTCTATTTATTTCCCTTCGAGTAATGATCCTTGTAAATCCAGAACTGCATTAATGATACAAAGTACAATAATGACTGATTCTGAAAATTTGCAGTATTAGGCAACAGTCTTCGAAATTAGAATAAAAACAGTTGCAGTTAACCTGTATGACATCTGAAACATATGTTGAAAATATCTTTGCAGTTAAGACTTCAGTTGAATTCTGTCTTCATTGAAGTAGCCCCACTGTTTCTCTCAAAAGAACTAAATTTTAGGTTCATGTTGGTTTTCAGTCTTTGGTATTAGCAGTGTGAAAACCTCTGATCTGATGGTATTGTCCACTAGCATAATACCGAAACCAACAGCAAGAACACCACTCTACACAGAAACTTCAGTCAATGTTGAAAACTTTAGTAAGAACTAAACTTAACAAATAATTTAGGAGAGACTTTCAAGAACTTTCTCTTATCTAGTAGTGTGCAATTTTGGGTTGCCTTGACACGGTTTGTTTGAAACATACAGAGACATTAAAAGTAACAGAGTCGGGACTGCCCAGTCGGGAAAGCATGTGAGTACAGGCTGGACAACAGAGATTCGATTTCCAGCAGAGGCATGAAATTTTCCCTTTGCTTCGCTTACAGTCTGGCCCTTTCTCTCACCCAACGTCGCCCTGGACCACTCACGAAGCGTGATCTTCACTCCACAAAAACTTCTTCATGGCGTGGAGCTTAAGTAGAAGGATAACTGCCTTTACACCTGTTAACAAGTTTTCGGTATTTCTGTAGGTTGAAATACACTTGATACGTAATTTAAATTTTCATCTTATTATGGATTTTATATACACAAAGGTTTTCATTTTATTTTGTAGGGTGGGTTAAAACTTAGTCCACCTGATACATCGACCACCAATTCACTTATTTTACCAGCTCCTGATGATAAACTAGTTTGGAGTATTTGGTGGAATGAGAAATGGAAAAGGAGACCGAAGTACGTACTTGGGAAAAACATACCCCATTGCCACTTTGTCCATCACAAATCTCACATGACTTGTTCTGGGATCGAACCTGGGCCGCCGCTGTGGGAAGCAGGCGACTAACCGCCTGAGCTGTGGCATGGCCTAAAAAAGGTAAAATTGTCCCTGTAAAAAGAAAAAAAATAAACTTGTCCCTGTTCTTGGCGAATTAAGCACTATACCAGGAAGACGTATGGGGAGGTGGATGTACTGAGCTACTTACTGTTAACCTCGGCACTAGTTGGAGGTGAGTGGTTAGTTTCACTCACCAGCTGCTTTACCCCCGGGGGAAAAACCCCCCCGTATCCATTGGATAGGAGGCTGGGTGGGCCCAAGAGCAGGCCTGGAGGACACGGATAAGAGAAAAATCTTGTCTCTGCTAGGACTCGAACTCTGACCACTGGTCCGTCCAGCTCGTAAGCAGTCTCTATATTGACTGCGATATCCTGGGTCCTAAAGTTATTCCTGTGCTTGATTAAATAAGCACTATGTCATGAAGACCTATCGAAAGTGGGAGAATAGCTTCACGATTCTTGACAACTTTTCAAAATAAACTGTGTTCCCGTGACGTCTCCTCCTTACACTCTCTTATGTCACATCACTGCAATGTTATCAACAAATTACTCAATACCAGAGGTTTTAGACAAGAGCATGTGAAGGCATGGTAGTTGCAGTTGCTTGTCACCAGGGTTACTTTCTGCAACTTATGAAATATTTATTGATGCTCATGTGAGCAGTTGGAATATATTATTCCAGTAATTCAATAACTGCTCTCTGCCGATTTCCAGGGCTGGTATGGGCAGGATATTACAAGACAAAAATGAAGAAGCATTACTTTCCTAATGACTTAATGATGTGTCAGTATCTTAGTCTTCCTCTTTGTGGCCTTGTGCCTCGCTGCTTCAGTCATCAACCTGTTTGTCCGCTTACACCATCAAGGAGGGGGTAGGTGGTAGTGTAGTTGGTTGAGGCACTATGCTACAAGACGGAAGGTCGCGGGTTCAAGTCCCTATGAGGTCACTGAATTTTTTCAATTGACCTAATCCTTCCAGCCGCACTATGGCCCTGGGATTGACTCAGCCTCTAACAGAAAGGAGTACCAGGAATTAATTAAATAATTTTCCTGGGGAGTATATCCGGCGCATAAGGCTGACAACCTTACCGCCATCTTTCAGCAGATTGCCTAACTAATGTGGGATCCTCAACGTCTCACAACCCTATGGACCTTCACGGCCTCTTACAGGTATAGCTTTACTTTACTTACTTACTTACTTACACCACCAAGGAATGTAAATTCTTGTGAGACATCTCACAATACCATCTAATATTCATGGGTAGTGAAGTGAACAACCAGTACACCTAATCCACTCGAAGACAATGGTGCTCTTAATGGCAGCTGTGTTATGCTGCTCCACTGAATTCAAGTGGGCAACCTCTGCCATTACAGACTCTATCAGAGTTACAGCAGTACCAAGAGTCTCCACACGAACTTCTCAGGACAGGTGAGAGACTGTTCTGTGTCACTCTACTCCTTGAGATATGTGAAGACCATGTCAGGCATGTCTTGCATGCATCACAGCTGACACCACTAAGCACTTGTCTGGCAACGGAACACTTCCACGTCACTAGCATCTACTGTACACCCATGTCCTTCTGTAGTTGTTGAGTATTACGTCGTGGTGACAGGGTGTGTGGAGGTAACCCTCCTTGCCACCACTTAATAGTATTCTTCTGCGACAGGGGGGGATTGGTTGTCTCACCGCTGTCACTATCTTGTTAAGCCGTAGGAGGGGGGGTCAAGTAAATTTACAATCACTGATCTAGCTGCCGCCTTGGCATGAGTTTGCAATTCTCCTACAGGATTCGGGAGATGCAGGAGCATTCTAGGAGGAGGGTAACACTTGAGGGGGAGGCTAAGTTCAATTAACATCACAGCGCATTTCTATCCTACTCTATTCACCTATGTCGCTATATACATAATATATACACACTTTGCCAACGTTTGTTGGTTCGCATTACATTTGGGTTATTATCCTGTAGCACACACATTACTCCTACTCCTGTCACCGTGCTGTTGGGTACCCAATACCTCTTTCTATCTCTCTCAGTAAACCTAGTCCATCTAGTCTTCACTTTCTCTCCCTGGGGTTTGCACCTTAATATTATCACACTTAATGTTCATGGCTATAAGAAGTAAGTCTACTTCCGGAGCTGAGGAAACAGGTGCTCGCTATCACCAACCCACAACTACTCTTCGTCATCACCCTCTCGGCGATAGCCTATGGCTGACTCTTTGACAAGTAATAAAAAAAAGTTTTTGGATTGATTCCTCTAGAGTTTATGTACCCTCTTTTTGCTGACTCGCTGAGTTCCGGGGGTGTATTGGCCCACCCATTCTACCGTGATTTTGGGTCGGTGTGGCCCACCCATTGACTGTTTATCGGAAGGGGGTTGACTCTTTCAGGTCTACCGCCCTATCCGACTCAGCGTTTTCCTCTTGCCATAGTTCTTTTATGACCCGCTTCATATAGCTTCTTCCTCAATGTCAGCGTTATTACGCTGTCGTGGTAACATTCTGATTACAAAGCGATTGCCTCACTACTGGCGTTATACTTCTGTGCAAACTCCTGCTTCCTGGTACATTTCATTATTTCTGTTTCTTAATCTTAAAGTCTAAATACCTTTATTTTATATTACCCCCCCAAAAAACACATCTACTTGTACATAACCCTTGCGCCATAACATTGAGCAACATGGAAACTCTCAGAAACATCATCAGGGGTTTCCTTGCCATGACTTGTGTATGAATCTGGTTAAGAAGCATAGGTGCCCTGAGCAACGACTGTAGGTTATTCAGAATATTAGCACTATCATCTTCACAACCAGTTCCACACAGACTTCTGATAGCAAGTTCATTGATGACGTTAGTTTTCAGGGCACCTACAAACTGTCCCAGTTGGATTATTGTTCAAACCAGGCTATGAACGAATAGCTCCAAATGTGTTCATGTGCCACCACGGTCTGTTACAGGGATAGCGTTATCTTTTAGATAGTTGTGTTCATTGTCTTGATCATAATTTCTTGTTTGTACCAAAAAACAATTACACAAATTTATGTTGGGCACTGTCTGCTATCTGAGGTATATGTGACATATGCTAAGTTTCGTGGATTTAATCTAATTCCGTCTTCTGTTGCTTGTCTTTTATTTCAATATTGGAGTGGAAGACTGGGCTCAAACCCGAAAACTTTTGAAAACTGGACTAGTACACTGAGCACTAGGCTAGATATGCAGAAACTATTTAGCAGATATTGATTGTTTAATTTAATATCAACTTCTTCCCACTGGTCACCTTTCCATACGTTCCCATGGCATGGTACTTAATTAAGTACGGGGACAAATTTTCCCTTTACCATTTTACATCCACGTCGAGTTTTGGAGTAATATGAATTAATCATCATTTACTGTAATTTTTTTCGGGTTTGACGCAAGTTCTAGAAAAAGGACGAAAATTAAATTATAGTCTACAAAGAGACCCGCCCGATCTGAGCACGCATTAGCCGATGTGGAAGTCTGGGTGTTCAATAGGCCTAAATATTGCATATGACACAGTTTCTATGGAACAGATACATGCAATCGCAAACACCAGTTCCACCTCGCATTGTCTCTGTTGTCACAAGGAAGAGGCCCTTTGTTGCTGCTAACAAAAGGATTTTGCATATTGTTTATCTGGAAATGGATGTTGATGAATCACACAAAGATGATCTGACAAAGAGTCGCTTCGGTACCCTCTTATTCATGTTCAGGATGGGGGGTATTCCTGTCGACATGCAGCCACAACCAAGAGCACACTTCGTGTACAACGTATATTTAGTACTGAGTTATTATCTCACGTGTATTTCCACATTCATGGATTATTTACAGAAATGGAACAATTTTGAAGAGTCAATGAAGAACGTTCGACTGCTGTTTGCAATGGCTTTCGTTTCGTGGATACATTTAAGCCTCAGGTACTTCAGAATGTATGCACTTCGTGGCAATATTGCAGTGAACAACTCTTGAAGTAGTATGAAACAATAAGAACTACTTGCTTCGTAATATTATTCTGCAAAAATGCATTCATATAATCAAAACTTCATAAGAAAAATGTCACTTTCTGGGACACTGAGACTTTAACATAGCATATAAAAAAAGCAAAGCTATCCTTGTAACAGGCCGTGAAGGCCCATAGGGTTGTGAGACGTTGAGGGTCCCACATTATCTAGACAATCGGCTCAAAGATGGCGGTAAGGTTGTCAGCCCTACGCGCCGGCCGCGCTTTACTCCCCAGGAAAATTATTTAATTAATACAGAGTACTCATGTCTGTTAGATGCTGAATCGACCTCAGGGCCGTAGTGCGGCTGGAAGGATTAGGTCAACTGAAAAAATAAAATCCAATGACCTCATCGGGACTTGAATCCGCGACCTTCCAGCTTGTATATTGTATTTTCATACAAACACTTATCTTTGTAACTACTACCACTTCCCACACGAGTCGTTTGCAACTGAGCGTCTCATATATTTTCTTCTTGTTTTAGATTCAATAAAGCTAAAATCGAGTACCTGCTCCATTTTACGGACACCTTCACGTGGGAAGAGATGCCGACGAGAGATCCTGAAACTGGCAGCACTACAATGGCTGGAAGTATCCAACGCACTCAAACGATCCTTAAGTATGTAGCCATTTTCATGTTTACTTTCCATGGGATCCAGTCGTCTCTGCACATGTGGAAGAACCATGACATGGTTTTTGACACCTGGTACCCTTTCCAAGTTACAAACAGTCCCGTGTATGAAGTTATAAATGTGATACAGGTAATGCTCTACTGTTCAACAGTTTTGCTCAGGTTCTAACTGAAGGCTTGATAATTGTATGTGTGTCTCTTGAATTACGAGATAATTCCGTTCCCAAGAATGGTGTAATTGTAAATAACATAATTTAATATACGTATATTACTTCTTTATTGCCATCGCCTCTGATTTTCATCAAAATATTTAATTCGATTGACTGTAACACAATTTTATAATACTGATTTTTTTTGTTTAATATAAATAATTTAATCATTTTTATTCTTTACTAAAGAAATAAAATCAAAGAATGGCATGTAACCGAGCTAACACGAAATTATGTAAGTCTGAGGGTGCCTGTACTGAAATAAATTACTTATATTAATATTTTTGGTGAAATATTTATGTTAAAGAATTTACAGTGTTATTTTTATGAAATAAATCCAAATAAAATTCTAATAATATTAAAGAAGATAAATTTTATTATAATGTGGAAAATTTCAGACATTTCAGAATGAGCACAACAATCCGAATTGCATTCACATAATCATGACTAGATACGAGTCGGGGAATCCTGTATCTACCTGTTCCCAATCTGAAATAAAACTTATAGAACCAAACAGCTAATTAATAATCTGATACATTTCCTATTCACAAAAGTATGAAAAAATGAAATGTTTTCTAGTCGTGTGTTTTCAACTTCTCCCCAAAATACGCCATTAGGAAGGTCAAAGAAAACCAAGAGAGACTGGAATTGAATGGGACGCGTAAACTTATATGCCGATTATGCTAACGTATTTGAAGAAAACATAAGCGTAAAAACACGTAGATCTAGGCCTATTAAACGCCACTAAGGAGGTGTGTCTAGTAATAAATTCAGAGAGATACTAAAGTCTCGTAACCACAGCGCTGAAACCCCAGAATAAAGACATAAAATAAAGGACTGGAGAATGTGGAAGAAAAGTTTAAATGTTTGGGAACGATAGTAACAAAACAAATATACGTGTATGTCCATGAAGAAATCAAGAAGAGATTAAATTGGGGGCATGCTTGTGCCGTTCCCTTCAAAATCATTTGTCTTCCTGTCTGCTATATAACACCTGAATTTTGGAATATAAACTTTCAAATGTTCATATAGTTACGTTTTGAAGTGAAAAACAGTCTCCTACATTAAGGGAAGAACATGGGCTGAGTGTGCTATGAAAAAAGGGCGCTGAGTGGAATATTTCGCCCTAACAAGGGGGAAAATGATAAAGGGCTGGAGAAGTCTGGGTAATGATGAGCTACATAATTTGTACTCCTGAATCATTAGAATGGTAAGATCAAAAGGGTTGAGTTCGCGCATGGGAGATACTAGAATTGCGCTCAAAATTTTTATCGGAGAAAGTGAAGGAAGTGATCACTTGAAGAATTGCACCTAGATTTTGAGGTTAATATTCAAGTGGATTTTACAGTAATAGGTGGGGAAATGTGGACTGTATTCATTTGATTCAGAACTAATTAGTGGCTGGTTCTTGCGAACCACAAAAACGTGGAAACTTCTAGATTTTATGAACGATTGTTAGCTTCTCGAAAAGGGCTCTACTCCAAGTATGTAGGGATTAAAACATGAGTGCGCTGAGAACAGAATTCTGAGGGGAATGTTTACCAGTAAGAGAGCGAATGGCTGGAGACGATTATAAAACAAGAGGCTTCGTAACTTGTATTCTTCACAAAATGTTGCATTATCCTTGCAGAACACAGAGAAACAACTCCTTACCATAGACCGCCATAGACTATGCAGATCTGATTTCATAGCTACTTCTCTATACACTCAAGGGGAACGTTGATTTAGGACGACTGCTATTACTGTGTTCCACATTTTCATCTAAACTTGTCGGCACATGACCTTGCTTCAGATATTAATCGCATATACTGAAATTCCCTTTCACTATATATTTTTTCTGTTTCTGCTCCAGTAAACGATTCCCTTCATTTGTCAATTGCTAACTACTTAACATTCACAAAATTGTTTCTGAAATTAGGAACCTGCGAAAATAATAAAATCCAAGGCGATATTCTGCTCCTTGAGACGTGGAGAAGTCGTTTGTTTCACGTAGTATTTCGTTACTAATTCTATTTTCTTGTTTTTCTGCACGAATCTCACTACGTGACTTTAGAATTACTATATCTGTAGGACAATTTTCGTGGCCGTAAGTTTCATATCCTAATAATGAAGTCCTTTCAGCGTTCGCAATAATTTCCGTTGGCTCACTATACCGAAATTAATATTGTCACGTGTTTATGGCTTCGAGACTATCAATAATGGGTTCTGGATTGGATGATAGGATTTATTAATAATTATAAATTTTATAATTTCTCTTAATCACAATCAGTTAAAGCGTTATCGCTAATATGTCCACTTCACAAAGCTGTAGGGCGTGCTCTCAGTTGTACTCCGCTGTACTCCATTCTTATAATTCCTCGGCACGAAAACAGTATTTCACAATATTAATCTACCAACGTCAAAGTACTTGGGATACGTTGTGTTTGCAACAAACGGCTGTTCCCACGATGCTGCTCCATTGCACTAAAGAAGCAGTCCTTAAACTGTGATCATGATCCTTATTCGGCAGGATATAAACCTGGCTACTTAGGTCGCACACCTCCCCTGAGCTGCAGCAGTACTAAGCAGTACTTTAAAAGTGCCTTGGGATATGCCCAATGGATAATCTAACAATTAGACATTTGTGAAAATTTCTGGAAAGGAGTTGAACTGTAACAGAAGTCGGTGCTGGAGGAGAACTTGTCTTCTGCTCACGGAGAATACATGGATCCCAATGCTGTCTCCTTTTGGCGTGGGATACAGTGAAAACGGACTAAGTTCATCAAGCCCCAAATTCCAAATAAACATGGGCTCTAGAATGTCATTGCTCGGAACACATCTCAATTTGTAGGGATTTGAGAACGTCAGTTCATACAACAACACCATAAACTTGGACACACTATTAAAAATAAATCCTAAGGGTTAGAAAGATCAGTACAAAAGTCTCTCTCTTACTGAAAATTAAGTCTCGTCAAATATAAGCTATATTTATGGTCAGCATTATAAATTACAAACAATTGCTACAAATAATATAATTTTAACATAACATAGGAAATGCATCGACAAATACGGTAATAGAAACACAAGAAACAACAGTTTCTTTATCGGTAAATTAATTAAGCTACGTAATAAAGTCGTTCCCATACTTTAGCCATGATTCATAACAAATATAAAAAATCCAGTCGTCTGTAATCTTAATTAATAATGGAATACGCGTATAGTCAGTAAACCAGTATATCCAGGACTCTCAACGTGGAAGGAAATACTTATCAACACATGGGGCACTGCAGTGACGGCAATAATTAAATAGTGAAACTTACCTCGACCAGAACTTCGAGAACGTTCGAGAGTCTCCATCTCCTTGAAGCGCGTAAACATAACATGTCCGAATTGTAGCAAATCCAATCCTGGGAAAAGCATCATTATATATCCATCTACAGTTCCGAAATAGTTCCTCACAACACACCAATCTGTTCGGAATAAGAAAAATATTAATAAACAAAAATCATGTGTTCAAAAAAAATTTGAAAATATAATCGTAGCATAAAGTCAAATGGGGCACTTGACACGTCTCTCCGTAATTAAACGCTCTTCTAGCTGATGAACTTCAACCCCAATTTTCGTCCAATTATATAAGAACAGGTCCATTGTTTACCTCGATTTTAATGAACCCAAAATATAGTGAACCATAACGAAAAAATGCTTTTGCCAGCTGTCTTGACCGGCTTGACAATCACATAATTTGTATCGATAGCTGTCCATAAATGAAAGATCAGCGTCGATCACATTTGCCAAAATCGATCTCGGTCTTTGGATGATGCCGACTGAGCCAACAACCGAAAACTGGAAGGCAGCAGGCGGGCAGGAGATATTTCCTGGAACAAATTCAAATTGATAAACAGCCACTGTTTGGTGTTTGTGCATTCGATTTATATGCAATAGAGGAGGGCCGTACTGGGAAAAATAAAAGTAAATTGTCCTTGTGCCTAATCAAGTGCCATGCCGTAAAGACGCGCTACCTGACACTAGACGGATGTGAGTTGTCAGCTCCACGATATCGCCTCTCTACTCCTGAAGACAGAACGACCGGTACCCATTATAGAAGGGGCTGGGTGGTCCCTGTAACAGGTCTGAACAATGTGGAGAAAAGTCCCTCGCCCGTATCGGAAATCTAACTCCTATTCTTCGACATCCTCCCAGTTGTGCATTCACTTAACAACTCAGCTCAGAAGAAAGGAAAAGCTATTAGCTAACATATATTCGATTTTGGTTTGTGACAGTTCAGTGCATTCGTCTTAGTCACAAGTATGTATGTCAGCCTCCAAGGTGTGTATGCGACGCTGGTGTACGTAGCATGCTCCCAGCTTGAGAAGCTCAGAGCAAATCTGTCTTTGATCGGTGAAGGACGAGTGACAACGGCCCAGGAATCGCGAGTTAATCCTGGTTCTGAGAAAATGCAGAAGCAACTGAACGACTGCATACGCCACCATCAGATCATACAGCTGTACGTACATAATAGTCAATAGCGTTCGTAGTGATTACACTACCAACGAAGACCTTTGGGTAACACTTAGTTGATTTTCACAGGTACATGCAGGAGCTCGAAAAATCGCTGAACGCTTCATTGGGTGGCTTGCTCCTCTGTCTCCTGCCATCGATGTGCTTTGTCTTGTTTTCTGCTGTAACGGTAAATGTCTTTCTAAGCACGGGACAAAGAAAAGTGTTTCCACATAATATTTCTGGTATTTAACATTTAAATAAAGAAAATGCCGACTTACAACTATCTGTATATTTTCTTTTACGGTGGGTATATTATTTCGATGTGAGTACCGCACGTAGTTGGTTGAGGCACCATGCTACAAGCCGGAAGGTCGCGGGTTCAAGTCCCGATGAGGTCACTGGAATTTTTTTCAATTTGAACTAATCCTTCCAGCCGCACTATGGCCCTGGGGTCGACTCAGCCTCTAACAGAAATGAGTACCAGAAATTAATTAAATAATTTTCATGGGGAGTAAAGCGCAGCCGGCGCGTAAGGCTGACAACTTTACCGCCATATTTGAGCCGATTGTCTAGATAATGTGGGACCCTCAACGTCTCACAGCCCTATGGACCTTCACGGCCTATTACAGGGATAGTTTTTTTTTTTTTTTTTTTTTTTTTTGCACCGCACGTAGCACGGAATATATCCGATTTGTAACAGAGCTGTTGGCATGGGCGCTCAACGGTAGTTCCCGGTTTATTTCCTGTTGGCTGTTATAGCAACATTATATTTAGGAGCAAACTTCGTCTCTTACCATCCCACTAATTCCTGTTCATGTATTGGGAAAACTGGGAGGTTCACGATTTTCACATTTTACCAAAAAGCGAGAACAGACCATCATGCTGAAAGACTGTTAGCGTATCCGTCAAGCTGGCAAGCTACACTTTATCGCAAGGATGTTTCTCTATCGAGTAACATGGCTCAAGGCCGCGCCATAGCTCAAGCGGTTACTCTCTGGCTTCCCACGGCGGCGGCCCGGGTTCGATCCCGGGTCTGGTCATGTGGGATTTGTGGTGGACAAAGCGACGCTGGCGCGAGTTTTCTCCGAGTACCTCGGTTTCCCCTGCCAATCTTCATTCCACCAAATTCTCCATCATAATAACTAAGGGCAGGCTACAATAGGCC